GAGAAGAATACTATTTTTAAAGTCAAATTTAACTGATCAGAAATTAATTTTAAACTTAAAACCTATAAAATTAAAATAAATATTTAACCAAGGAATTTGTTTATGGTATTGTTTAAATATTAATTTGTCCCCTAAGGTCTAGTAGATAATACCACTGAACACACAGGTTCGCTCCTGACCATGTGGAGTTTTCCGGATTTTCTTCACGTGTCTAATACCTAAAGAGGGGAGAGAGGGGGTGAGTTTCCCACAGAAAGTCCTATTAATATCGAAGAAAATTTAAATTTCATACATATTATTACTAATCTGATCAATTAAATTGTCCTATTTTATATAAAAATCTGTTAAATATCTAAGATTAGATCAACTATTATCTGCTTTTGTTCAATTGGGGTGCAATTGCATCTATTCATGCATTCTACACGAATAGAAGCAATTGTATATTCTTTAAGAATTAATGATATATTTCTGTAAGAATAAAAGCAATTATTAAGAGTATGGAATTGTACACTGGGTAGACCATAAAAATCTTTAAATTATTATTATTATTAAAAAAAGTGTGATAGACAGTGATAAATCTGGATGAAATATTATCCAAACTGAAGCTGTGTAACAGGTATTCTGTATTGATAATTGTGTAATTTGTGACGTTTTCATGTAAATTATTATTTAGTTCATCGAAAGATACTATACAACCAATTCATAATTTTTGTGAATAGGTGTTTTTTATTATTTATCTATAACCTCGCTTCGTTGTTATCTGCAAATCAAAGTGCGATGTTTATGCGCTTTGTTAATCAGTGCCAACACAAGATATTTATATTCACTTCTACAATAAAAAACACAAACAAAATGTCATATATGACAATCTAAAAAGGATTTCTTTTTAAAGTTAATTTAATTAATTCCATTGATTTAAATTGTATTATGAATTTGCAAATAAAAAATAATATTTTTTGGCCTAAAATTTTAGTACTTATTTGTATTATTAGCCACACAAAGAAGAGAAATTAGAGACACAACAGCATGATTATCATAAAAGAAGTATTTATGCTGGAGAGTTATTGCGTGTATTCTGCTTAAAACCAGATTTAGACATATTATATTCTTAAGTTATAATATAATAAAGGCCTCCCAGTAAATCTTAAGCTGTAATGTAAGGTCCTAAACTATCTTGTGTAAGCCCATTCCTGTGTCTTCTATAGCACATTTAAATTAACATTGTATAAAATTGAATATTGAGTATTGTAAATTTATAATACCATGTAGAAAGTTATGTTAGATAGAATTATCAGCATCCTCTTCACTTATTAAAGAAGATAAGATAGAAAATAAGAATAAGAAACAAGCCAGTTCTGTCCAGTTTGACCGTATCCTTTGCTACAATTGAAAGGATATTATTAGNAAAAAAAAAAAATTACTCACCTGTATAAAGTAACTTTAATATCCTCAATGTATCATAAACACGTACGAAAAAATCTCTAATATTTAGGAGCTCCAAGTTCATCGTCTGGATGATGAGTTCCTTATAATAGCAATTAGAAAATCTCATCTATATATGCGTTTTTGGATGATAGACTCTTGTTCTTATGACATCATCAAAAAATCTCCACCCCAGAATAAAAAAGATATGGAAAAATTCTAGGTCACATTTCAAAGTACAATGTACTTCGAAGTATTGATAATTATTGGTCGTGATGTCATTGATTTTAACCAATTGACAATTTGCAAATAAAATTAAAACAAATAATTATTAATTTAATCAGAACGAACTTCAATATGTATATTTTTCTTTTACTTTCAACTTTTATTTTCATTTATAATAAAAAAAAAAAAAATTATATTTATATAGAAGTTCATTTTATATACAGAATTGTTCAAAATATAGATATGTACTGTACTAGAATATGTATAATAAGCTGAGTTTAGAGATGTTTTTCTTATATGAAATTGATAAAAATGTATTGAATATGATAGCAATTTAGTTAACTGACTTTTGGTTCATCCTGTATTTATTTATTGACGTTTAGAAATAATTAAATCTCTAAGTGTTATACAGAACTTTTAGTAATTCTGAAGGAGTTTCGTCACACGTCAGTTAAGAAATTAATTTAAAATTAGAATCAATTTAATGATAAAATATAAATCATATCCATTGTAAAAAATTCCCTGATAATTTCTGACTGATATATCCCAGTTTTAATGATATTGAACCAGTTCTTTTAAAGGTAATTTTCCAAAATATTCATTTATTGAAAATGAAATCAAGATTGAGATGTGTCATATTTCTATTTACTTTTTCACTTGGAATGTAAATGAAAATAAATATTTTAAAATGAAATTAATACAAATATTAAATCGAAGAGATAAAACTTGGAATGAAAGCATTCTAATGAAAACACTCAAGTTCAGACATTCAGGTGACAAAGTGCAACAAACGTCAAACCTTTTATCTTTGTTGAAGTGGTCAAGGTAGTTAATGGACAAACTAGATAAGTCTAATCTGTTTATAATAATCATTTCGAAAATTTACCTTCAAAACTTATTCAATTTAATTAAACAAAATTAAATTCTTTAAAACATTAAATATCAATTTTTTTAAAAAAACGGAATCACTTTTTCTTCTCAATTGAAAAAACAATAAATAAAACTTTTTATAAAGTTTTCTTTCAAATTGTAAATTTTCTTTATTTCAACTTTTATTTTAAAATAAAAATCAATTGAATTTAAAAATAGATTGACATTGAATTTTTATCTATTTTCATTTCGATACGGTAGATAATTAAAAATATATGCAAGACACACCAAGTATCTAACACAGGATCCCTTGGTGTTTGTAACTTATAATTCCATTTAACTATATCAATGATATTCTAATATCTCCGAAAGAAGAAGAAGAAGAAGAAAAAAAAAAAAGGAAAACACAGTACTTTGACCCATTGAAGACAAATATTATACATTCATTTTGCTATCTGTAACTTTTATAAGTGCTCTTCACAGAGCATTACTACAAACATTGCCATAGAAACCTGCAATATATACTTTACATATTTATTTTATAATTATGAAACAAGCAAGAAATCTGACAACAGAATTTGTTTCTTTTAAAACTTTCCAATTCAATTATTCATAGTCACATAACGGTCTGAGTGATGAAATTTTATCCATCACCTATGTGGATTTGGCCAGGTCCTCAATGGAGATAGCCGGATAGAGATTCGTTATTTCCACATAACCAATTAGATCCTATCAGACTCGAACCCGTAGCCCCTAATAACAGGCATAATAATTGAAATTACCGAAGAGAGAATTATCTTTCTTTCCTTCTTCCTAAGTGATCTAATTACTCTTTTATGAAGGAATAAAGACAAAGGACGTCGTCGAGTCTTCATGCAAAACAAATACTATTTAAATCAATCAATAAATTGGCTAAAATTATATTCCTTAAATAGATTTGTTCCTATTTATTCTATCTTCGCCTCTCTTCATCCAATTATATATTAAAATACTTCTTATTTAAGAATAAAAATCAATGAAATATTTACGAAAGAAACATTCTAAAAATAGTTACGTTGATACATTCCCTAACATAAGGTTATATAAACATATATATTTATATTTCCTATTACAGCTTTATTATAGATTTTCATTGTAATATTAAAAATTAATCATAACTTCTCATCACCACATTGGTATTTGTTTAACTATAAAAATAATCATTTATGAATCATTGTTTTCAATTATTAGTAAAACTTTGATAAACTGTTTTTACAACTTTACAATTTTTATTAAGAATTGAAGTAGACTAAACATAGAAACAATAATAATTATGGCACAGCTCTTGTCTTCTAAGTGTTTTATCAGAACTTTGATCAGATTGTCACGAATAAAATCGATATTTTTTCACAATTTTTGCATCTTTCTATGCTATTTTATTCATATTATTCTGAAGTAAATCATAAGTAGTACTTGTGAATTAATTGTGAAATAGAATGAATGAATAGAAGGAAATTAATATCACAATACGCGTATACTCTCTGAAGTGAAAATTTCAATCCATATTTCGCTTCGGACACTGATTTTGAATTGAAACAATACATCTAAATGTCATCACAACTACTTTGCTTCAGAAATCCATCCCCGTCTATACACATGGAAACATGATTGGTCTTCTTATCGAATGTCAACATATTTAGAACAGTATCTTACACTCACTTTATTAAAGAACAAGTGTTTATATATATATATATATATATATTTTAACAGACCTTATATTTTTATACTAAAAATAGATCTAATGTCACGCGCAGCAATAATACTGTCCTATAAAAATCAGTTCTTAGACATGTTGACATTTCGGACAGCTGTTAACTGCGGGTGTTTCGACAACTTTTCATGGCCGTCGTACACACTTACCAGTAACAAATTCAATTCTAATTATGCATTTAATTTCATCCGGTTCCATTTTCTCTTTCGTCATAAATCTGATAATACGGTTCTCATCAGAAATCCGTATGAGACAATGTGAAATAACACTACTCGCTTACCAAGTTTTCAAATATCTATCAATAATTATTAATCTAAGAGGTGTATCAAAGATTGGTTTGACAATTTTTGACTTTGTTAAACAAAGAAATTCAAAACAATCTTAAACACCAATACGAACAAATAGAGCTTATAGATTATTTATATACGTGTAGTGTTTTTTTAAAGTTTATTATTGTTAAAATTCAATAATTTTATATATAATTAAGCGTTTAAAGGTCAAGAAACTAAATAATAATAATAATAAAAAAGAGCTTTCGATCTGGAAAATGTTAGCAATTTTAAGTGACGGAGATTTTCCAGGTGTATTTAGAATAAAAAAAAAAAAAAGAAATGAAAAACAGGACACAGATTGACGAATTCTTTACGTTTTCATTTCCGGTTATTAGTCATTTATACAAAAAAAATAACAGCTAATTGGTCGAAGAGCGACTCCGCCTACACCTCGAGAAAAGTATTGCATCTTTCTCAGTGAAAGCCAAACAATGTATCATCTGTTTTCCAGCTCGTTCTCCTATATATTTCCGTTTCCGGGATAGACAGTAGACTGACGGAACATGACCCTGCTGCTGCTGCGATTCACCCTGTGTCTACTGACCCTCTTTGTGAGATGGTCGACGGCAGTCAAAGAAGGAAAGTTAAGGTTAGTCGGGGGTCATAGTGCAAATGAGGGTAACGTGGAGATATATCACGCGGGACTTTGGGGATCCATTTGTGACGATGAATGGGATAAAACTGAAGCCGATATCGTCTGTAGAACATTAGGTTATAATGGATCGTCTAGAGCAACTTACAATTCTGAATTCGGAAGGGCCAGAAGTAAGTTTTAAATTATATTTTTAAATTTTAACAGTAGAATTAATATAAAGTAAAAGGATAAAAAAATAACCGAGAGAGTAAAGAGTAAAATGAATGATTAGAGAAAAAGAAAAAAGAAAAATTACTTTAAGAAATAGAAAGTGGGTGAGTTCAGTTGTCCTTGCACGGTTGTAGACAATATTTCAAGCCTGTTTTTTTTTTTTCCTGTTAAAAATAATTATAAATAAATAAACAAATTACATCTTTAATCTTAACAGGATGTCTTTTTTAAAAAAATAATAATAAAAATAATTTTCTATTTTAAATTACAGATTATGTATCTGTTATTATTACAGATGCATAATTCGAACTTAAACCCAATCTAGCGAGAGACAAATGATAATTTTGGACATTTCGCATCCGGAAATGTATTTATTTTTGTTGCATTTTACTTATCTATATCGGGAATTCTGTTTATTTTAATCCGAAATATTATTTTGGCGAAAGAAGAGAGAATTCTGGTACAGAATGTAGCGTGGGAGAGGTAGTCACAACCGATTGAACGATCCAAAAATATAACGTTTTCTACACCTACAACCGAGTTTAAAAGACTGTAAAAATCACTAGAAATATAATAAGATTCTTTCAGTGGTATGTTTTCTGTCATATAATACACCTACACAAATTCCAATCAAATTAAAATGACGTTTTTTTTTTTTTCTTTCTTTCTTTGTTTACACACGGAAGAATGTCACCTTTAATATTCGCGTAACGCACTTTATAGAAATTTAATCGTATGACCTTGAAAATGTTCTCTTTTACAGGGCAAATATGGATGGACAATCTGTATTGTCAGGGTGGAGAAAGTAGTTTATCCCTATGTAGATTCGACGGATGGGGTACACACGACTGCGCCCGTTCCGAAGCTGCAGGAGTCGAGTGTATAAAAAACAATACGGCTCAACCGTTAGTTTTATACAGCGATGCTCCTAATCCCAAGAGAAGATTAAGCGTAAGTGATGTCAATGGAATGTCTGTAGGTTGGATGTGTTACACATGTTTTCAATAAAAGCAGATGGTTTTGGTTATGACGATTTACAGTTACTAACTACCGTTGTCACAATCAGTTATAAACGATTTGGTGGGAGCCGTCCTTTAACCCCACGACTTTTCAATGGGGGCATTTTTTTTTTAGTAGTGTTAATCATTAATATAACTTTTTAGACAGAAATTTGTCACAGAACATGGCTAATTATTAGGATATTTATATAATCAAACAATGAATTTTTATGTGAAGAGCATACTTAAGCTCCTTTACTACTACTAAACTCACTAAAGTTCTTTATATTTATTTACTAAATTTATCTTTTAAAAGCTCCTTATTATACTCAAGAGCAATTTCTAAATATTATAAATTATCAAAAACGTATTTAATTACAAAAGTATATTAATGTTTTCATTAAAAAAACAAAGAAAATCTTTTACTTTTAGTTATTTTATTAATTATAACCCCCCCCGTCTTCTCTATTTAATAAAAGACTTTTTAAGCAATGAAAATAGTTATTAATGATTAATTTTTCTTGTAGTTGGAAGAACCAGAAATGGAAGTTCGAATAGTTGGAGGGAGAAATAAAATGGAAGGAAGAGTAGAAGTGTTACTTAAAGAAATGAATTGGAGTCTGGTGTGTGGAGATGGATGGAGTCTATTAGAATCTACAGTGGTTTGCCAACAATTAGGACTCGGATACGCTCAATCGGCAGTTCAGGTTATCTCTATATAGCCTAAACTCTTTCATTATTTAATATATAATTTAATAATCACAGACGATAAAAGTTGTTTGATGCATTTTATTATTATTATTATTATTATCTTTACAGAGTTCTTATTTTGGTGGTAATTCGAGTAAAATTGCCATCAGTGGTATAAAGTGTACAGGTGACGAGAGACACTTAAACGAATGTCTTCACGATAATATTGGACAGGTATTTTGTCCAGGAAAAGAAGAAAATATTGCCGGTGTCATTTGTGCTACAGGTAATTTTTTTTTTTTTTTTCAATGTAAATTCTACTTTAATTGACTTCGGTTAACTGACATTTGGACCACCCCGAATATATTTTTTTTAATTAAATCAATTTAATGTCTGATTTATTTAAGTTTTTATTGTATTGTATTGTGGTGTGCTCTGTTTTTCTAGAATTGCCAGATTTGGTTCCAGATGAAGTGGAATTAGAGCGCTCGACTTATCTAGAAGATAGGGAATTGTTTTTCTTACAATGTGCTATGGAAGAGAATTGTTTAGCAAGAACAGCATATCAAATGGATAGGAACGATTACGGTAACTAAACACTCGTTTCATTTCAATTATTTAATGAATAAAGATTATTTTTCCTCATCCAGAAAAAGAATTCATTTCAATGACGTTTCCTCTTAAAAAAAAAAAAGAAAAGGATATTTTACTCTGCGATTGGTTTATCACAATCAAGGTCGTAATTACAAAGATAGTAACTAACACTGCTATACAGTACTATTCTGCGTGCTTTTCACGTGTATACAATACTCAAGATTATATATTACCATTGTGTCGAGATAATTTCGTGTTTATTATGTAAAAAAAACAAAAAAAAAAAACTTATAATTTCTAAATTTTTAATTTTAATTTGGGGTGTAAAGTTAAAATGTAGTGTTTATCATTCAAAATCATACTTTTAATAATAACTGTTATATAATTATTATTACCGAATGTTTAATTTAAAAAACAACGTAGGAGAAGTGAAAACAATAGATTTAGATTAAGAGGAATGAAACAATTAGTTTAGAATGAAAGAAATAAAACGTCAAACTCGGAATGAAATACGTGAAACAATCGTTGTTTCTTTTGTAATTACAATTATTGAAATTTACCATGGGATAAAGTATTGGGTTATTATTTTTAATAGAATATATAGACGTAGTAAACACAACAGTGCATTCAACTCATCACCAGTAACTTCAATTCTCCAATAAAATCACTAAGGGCCAAGTGGGTAAAAACAATTAAACACTCGGATTCGTCCCTCATCAACGGTTTGGGGATTTCTTCACCTAAATACTACACAGTTTGACATACCCCTTGGAAGATTGATCTCACATGTTTCGTTGTTGTATCCTTTCAAATCAAACCAAATAAATTAGTATTATCTCTACCATATTTTAATTGTTATATTCATAAACTCCCGTGTTCTATTCTGCTGTTTACGAAGATTCTAAAAATATAGAATTTTTTTTTTTTTTTTTTTTTAAATCGATAAATATCTTGGTAATTTTCCATAATAATATAGAATTTGTTTTGAACTTCACTTGTTCTTACTTCGATTACTTAAAATCTATTTATCTATATCTTAAAATAGAAATAGATTATGATTCGAACGTTTATTATATTATTTTATTTTCGAAATATTTTACATTTTTACAAGATTATTTCGAAATTACACGCAAAATTGTACACGTGTAACGAATGTCACCTATATATAATCTATTCAGATAATGATAATTAGAAACTCTGTACCTACAGATTATCACCTACTTTTTTAAAATTTAATTGTGTTTTCTTAAAATGTATTTTTACTTTTAAATGATCACTTTTATTATAATTCTTGAATTAAAATTAAATTTCATACTCTTATCCCTCTATCGAATTCCTATCAGATAAGGTAGAAACGATGATTATTTCGTCGTTACATTTACAAATATTCTTAGAATTTTGTGAAATTTAATACAGGAAATTTAATTATTAATAGTATTTATATTTCCTGTTATTATTTTATTCCTAAATAATAGGATGGCAATACGAAAGAAGACGTCTTTTACGTTTCACTGCCAGAATAGGAAACATAGGAACTACAGATTTCCGCCCATTTCTTCCGAAATATGCATGGGAGTGGCATATGTGTCATCTGTAAGTATTTAAGAATTAAAATTAAAAAAAAAAAGTAGTCTAATAATAAAAAAAAAATACTTAAATAATGGCATCATTTTAGACACTATCATAGTATGGAAGTATTCGCTCATTTCGACATCATAGACGAACAAGGAAGAAGGGTGGCTGAGGGACATAAAGCTAGTTTCTGTTTAGAAGATAATAATTGTCAGCCGGGTATCGAAAAGAAGTATGCTTGTGCCAATTATGGTGATCAGGGTATTTCGGTGGGATGTTCCGATACTTATCTACATAATATCGACTGTCAATGGATCGACATCACCGATCTTGCTCCGGGAGCTTATTATATGAAGGCAAGAGATTTTACTATTTATTTATTTTTTATTATAGGAAAAAAACAACTTAATTCAAAAGAATGTAAACATTTATACAATAAAATTCAAAAAATAACAGCAAAAAGTACATAAATTTCTTCTAAATCTGAAAGGATGATTTGTTTCCTGTATGAGATTCTTCTATCACTATTTCATAATTTACAGAGAGATTTGAACTTGAATCTTTTAATCACAAGACTATAACTCCTTATGGCGCTCTCATTATTAAGTAAGTGAGAAAATTGTACTATTTTATATCTCTGTTATGATATATTAAAGAAGTGTCTTCTCACTTTAATACATCAGAAACATAGTCTTTTGGTGGAGTCAATCTTAATCTTGTGGCTCTCATCCTCAATATACAAAAACTTGTTTAAAAAATTTCCATCCGGCTTTGACACCATAAAAATGTTTATCAAAATAACACATTTAAAAAAAAAAAATATATATATATATATATTAATTTAGTATAAATATATAATACATTTATAAAAACATATTTGATATAAAACAATCATTGCTTTTCGTGAAATATTTATTCACATAAGTAAATAATAAAAAACATTAACTGTTTTGGTTAAAACAAAAATAAAAACTTTTTTTTTTGAAAATCACGATGTAATCTAATCATAACCTAAGTATTTTGGCTTCATTTCAATAGCACATAATATAATTATTTGTAAGTCAAAAAAATCTTCTTCAGTTGAAACTTGAAATCGAGAATTCAGGCATTTTTCGCATAGTAATTTCGCATGTTCCATGCAAATAAATCTGGAACATTCTTTACAGATGCCCAGCAGCTGCCTAAACGTTTATCTACATACACCATGAACGTGCTAAAAATCAAACACAAAAAATATTACTTACAATTTTACAACGCAGCGAGCCTGGTGGGGTCTGTGACGCCCGGCACTCACGCAAATACGTCTTGTTCGAACGATATCGCGCGAGACACTAAAAATTTGGTGGGGATCACCAGCGAATGAATAGAAATGAAGCTACTAATAATTTTAAGTCGCTATCGCAAAAATTTAAATACTTGTGAACTTTTAAAAATGAGTCGGGTTTCAGAGACCCCACAGGCACCGCGAAGGGTAAATAAATGATCCACGATTAAATAAAGTTAAAAAATAACAAAAACAAACCGCACCAAACTTTTTAAAAATTCGAATGCGTATCTAAAAATGACAAATATGCAGTGATACCTTCTATTTCCAACGATTCTAATTTCGAACGTCCAGACCCAATACATTATTTTATTAATGCATTCATAAATTGATATATTAATCTAATTTAAATAACAGAGTATCGAATTTATTTATTTTTAAAATTAAAACTTAAATTATTAAATGACGTTTAACGAGCGTCTAGAGCAGGCATGGCCAATATACGGCCCGTCTAATGAATTTATGTGGCCCGCGATCAATCTTTCAATATTAGCTACTCAAGTCCGAATAGCTCAATAGAAAATTCTGACGCCTAAAATAAAAGGCCAACAATTCACTGTACGTTTAGAGTTAACCCTCCATTATAAATCTCGTACGTACAGGGTAGAATGTTGATAAAGCATAATGTAAAAAATGTATCTTTAATCTCTATCTACAATTTAGTCTCTACGGGGTGACACCAGAATGAGATCTCGCATCACCTCAAAATCTTCCTAGGGTAGTCTCTTGTTTGGCCCGGGGGCAAAAACTGTTGGCCACCACTGGTCTAGAGTCTGCTAAGTGTTAGTTCTAAATTATGCCGCTACGGCGAACGGCGCAACTAGCGGGAACTGCCTTTGTCAGTGTTTTAAGAATAAAACTTTACTTTATAATTGTATTTCGTCGTTTTTTTATTAATTATAGACCCAAACAAAACAAATATATGTGTTTTTCAATTAAATTTTTGTTTTAGAAAATTTTTGGCTACAAACACTAAAATCATCTGGCAACATGTTTTGAGTCGTTGTTTTTAGTTACACGTGGTCTTCTCTTCGTGGTAAGTTTTAGTTAAAATGGAGTTGGAGTGCAGTACGTGCCACGTCAAATACAAATTTAAACAAAGCTTATCCAAATATATGAGGGAGAAACATAAAAAAGTGGGCACTTGTGCAGTTTCGTTAGTACGGCTGTTTGAGAGGTTTTCTTACGTAAAATTAATCATTTGTAGACTAAATTGACTCAATCATGGCCAAACCACGTATAATTTCTTGGAAATTAGCGATAAAAGATATGCTAAAAACAAAATATTGTCGGAATACTTACCGAATGAACCACGTTCGAAGACGCCATTGCTTAAGCTTCTTTTCGTCGCGGAGTGGCACATTCTTCGTACGCGTCCGCCATCCAATGTGTCACGTGTCGGTGCTATTCGGTCACGTTACTATTCATCTCGGCTACGCCGGGCATCTCTGACGTCTTTCCTGATAACTTAATCTTCCCGCGAAAGAATTTGCTGAACTTTGGAGACATCACGTGATAGATCCGTGACGTCATATTCCTATCACTTGATTTAACTGAGCCTTTGAAGAAGTCCCCGGACTACAGGTTGATAAACTTTTTTACCCATTCATAATGACGAGCGCGCCCCAAGCAGACATTTCGCAATGATCTCACTTGTCTGGCTCCTCTGACCTGGGAGGCAGGTGTATACAAACAGTCAAGTGGGGTGCATAATTAAACAGTTTAGTCTTGGATTTTGCTTGTTTAGTTATGGCAATGCAACACTCGGGCAACCTGCCTAGGGAGATGCCTTCTGGGAGGTCTTTTTAAGGGAAACTGTCCCCTATTTACACATTACAGACAAGGAGAAAAGCTGGAAAACTCCACGTAGCCAGCCCATCCGAGCAAGGTGCTAACCCACAACCAAACTCCCAGTGTTCCGGGCACAAAGACCGCTTGGCCACTGGTGGGCTAATATAGTATTGGAAATATTGTCATTGCGGCTACCTAGATGCACTTCTATCTTTTATATATTAAATTACAAAATGCATATTCAACTGTGAATAAATAATGTGCCTTTGAAGACATTATCAGAGCGAATTACTGTACAGAAAATATTTATAAATTAGCGGATAACACAAGCTTTAGAGTTGTCAAATCTGTCCTTTTCACACCAGAATCAGAAAAATGTAATCTTTCAACTTTAGCTAAAATGCAAAGACTAAAGTTTATGTTCATTTTTAGTAATAAATATACAGTTTTTACTATACAGAGTGTTATTAAAGATAGGGTTTATGTTAATCTTTAATTATTCCTTTATAGCTAATAGTCTTAACTAAGGAGGAATGAATTTTATTTTGATGGTGGAGAAACATAAGATGTTGCCAAAAAATTAATAGACATGTTCTTCAAATTAAAAGGCATGTTCTTTAAATGAAACATAGACTGGACTGTTTTAAAATATAATGTTACTAATAGGTAACCACTAAGGTTCCTGTTTCCAAAGCCATTTTATATGGCTTCGGCAAGAAATTAAGAATGATAATGCACTGTTACACCAATACAAGTATTTATTATTTCATTTCTTGTTACAAAATGTATTTTGGCCATAAGTAGCCCTCTTTAATTGTAACAAATAAAACAACTGTGGCCGCCAGCGCCAGAGATCCTGAACACTGTTGGCAACACTTGCCAAGATCACGAACTCTGTCTGGCAACACTTGCCAACAAGAGTGGCTGAAAACGTCAAAAAAGAAAAGGCGCGAAAGTTCGTTGGATTTTGTCCGTGTGTTGCCCGAGGATGTCTGTGACAGTTCTAACCTTTTCTAATAAAGTTCTTTTTTGTTACTGTTCGTGTTTGCCTGCTTAATGTTAG